ACAATGTATTGTTTGTCAAAGTCTCCGGTGGGACACCCCTTGAACCCATATCTGCTGGATTCTCCTTTGACTTGACGTAGCCCCATTTCGCTTCGGGTATTCTCTCCAAAATATCCATCACCCTTGTTTTTATGAACTTATCCTTGTTTTTGGAGTTGTGAATCCATGCCAAGGAAATCATGGAATCACTCCAAGCAAAAGTTGGTGTTGCTGACTTCAATACTCCTTTGATCTTCTGTAGTAGTTTAGCCAATAGATGTGTTGCACAAAGTTCCAGCTTTGGAAGCGTCTTCCTATTTTTTACTGGATTTACCTTACTTTTTGCAGCCACTATGGTCACCTGCGAATTTACCTTAAGGTATACGACTGCTGCATAAGCCTTCTCGGAAGCATCTGCAAACCCATGTAACTGTGCAGTTTTGTCTTCCAATATTCCAAACCATCTTGGAATCCTTAAATTTTCTAAAGCAGGCAGACTGTATGTAAACTGCCGCCAATCTCCACTCAATTTCTCCTCCAATGGCACATCCCATTCTATTTGTTGTATCCATAACTGCTGTATAAATAGTTTTGCTGTTACCGTGACTGGCGTCAGCCAACCTAATGGATCGAATATTTGTGCCAGTCTTGACAATGCTATTCGTTTTGTCAACTTGTCTTCTTTTTTAATTTGCATACTAAATGTAAAGCAATCGATCTGTGGATTCTATTGTAATCCCAATGTTTTCAAGCATTCATCTTCTTCTATTCTCAGCACTTCATTTTCTTCATTCAATTTCACCGCACTCAATACTTCAGGAGAGTTTGATATCCATTTTCTTAAATGAAACCCATAATCCTCCAGTTGCAGCGTTATCTTCTTCTGCACCTCCCTGCATTCTTGTTTTGTATTCGCTCCTGTTAAAAGGTCGTCCATGTAGAAATCTTCTTTGATCCTCTGAGCGATTTCTTGATTCTGGCACCTATTTCCAATTTCTATGAGCGATCTTACAGCCAGAAATGGTGCTGATGCAGTGCCATATGTTACCGTAGTAAGTTTATATTGTTGGATAGGCTCCGACGGATTACTCCTCCACAACACATGTTGGTATTCCTGGTCTTCTTTTTCAACTTTAATCTGACGAAACATTTTCTCCACATCAGCTGAGATGACAAACTTCCACGATCTCCACTTTGTTACAATGTCAAATATATCTTTTTGAAGCCTTGGTCCCACGTGAAGTATGTCATTCAGCGACTTCCCATTTGAAGTTGTCGATGAAGCATCAAATACCACTCTAACTTTTGTGGTTAGACTTGTTTCACGTACCACTGCTTGGTGCGGCATATAATACAAAGCCTTCTTACTTGGATCCACCTTTACCATTTGGCCCATGGATATGAGCTCGTTCATTGTTTTCTCGTACTCTGACTTTAATTCCGCATTATTTTCTAATCTTTTTTCCAAGTTTATAAACCTCGCCATGGCTCTTTTATATGAATCTCCCAAATCTTTTTCTTCAATTAACGGCAAACGCACGACAAATCTTCCTGAATTGTCTCGGCGTGTTGTGTCTTCATATAACTTAAGGCAGTATTCGTCTTCTTCGGTCGTTTTTTTCATCTTCTATTTCCTCTATTTCCCAGAACCTCTCAATTGTTGTTGTTGCTGCCGATTTCTTTATGTTCAATCCAGGATTTACTACTACTGTTCCAGATAAAATCCAACCCAACTTCGTATTTGTCCCACAATTTGCTCATCGTGGCGAACTCCTTCTTCCAATATTTGTGAGTAAAGATCGGCTCCAATGACTAAATCGATTCTTTCCGGGCTGTTGAAATTTGGATCTGCCAAATTTACATTTCTCCATTTATCCACGTCATATTGAAACCTTCTGTCGGGATGTGCTGATGCAAGTGCTGGAAGGACTAGTGCTTCTGCCTTAATCATTATGTTGCTCAAAAATCTGGGTCGTAGTTCCAGTGCAACTTTAGATTTCGCCACGCCAACTAGGGTCTCTCCTAGACCTTGTAACCTCACTTCTGTCTTCTTCCTTGGTAGCTGCAACAGTTGAGCCGCGTCCTCTGATATGGATGTAATTTGTGATCCTTGGTCTATCAGCGCTTTGACTGTTACAAATTCTCCATGCAGTGATTTTATACGAACTTGGGCTGTTGCTAGCAGAACATTTGTTGTTGTATTGGTGGTCATTGCTTTCGTATGTCCTCTTCGCTCTAAATGCATCACTGTGATGTGATTCATTCCACACTTCTGGCATTTAATTTCATTGTAACATTTTTTATCCTTGTTGTGGCTTAAGCATCTGAGGCAGACCTGTGCTGATCTTGCCCAATTGTATCTTTCATTCGAAGATAACGCCGAAAATTTTCTGCACCATGCGATATCATGTCCGCTCATTTTACAGAACTTACATTGTTTTAATTCCGCTACCACTGCTGATTTTTCTTGGAGTTTGTACAGTCCTATGTTATTGTGTTTTCTGCCTACTGAAGCTTCCAAGGCTTGAAACTGCTGCTCCAGGAAGTCCATCACATCCTCAAGTTTTTGGATGTCCTTGGATTTCTTTACATTCTGCTCATAAAGAATAAGCCCATCCTTATCCAGTTTCCGTATAATTATTCGGGCTAAAATGGGATCCGCTTGCTCTAGGGGAATATCCATTGCTTTCAACGCCTGAATACTTTCATTTACATTGTCCAGCAAATTTCTTATGCTTATTGCTGACAGGCTGTTGATGTTTTGATGGTCCAGTATTCTATCTACCAATTTAGTGAATAAAATTCTCCTGTTGCCATATCTTTTTTCCAGTAATTCCCATGCTGCTTCATAATTTGCCTCGGTCACTTGAAGATGTTGCACCAAGCGAAATGCCTCTCCTTTTAGATTTGTCTTGAGGTAGTACAGTTTTTGAACTTTTGATAATTTGGAGTTTTCATCAATCATCTTTTTAAATAAATCGTGAAATGAACTCCACTCTTCCACATGACCACTAAAGGATGGTATTTGAACTCTTTTTAGTTCTACTTCCAGTGACTCCTCTTTAAGACCATCTATCCTTCTTATCATATCCTGCATTTTGCTCTCAAACTTTTCTTCAATTTCTTCAAATTCGAGATCTACCTCTTCCATTCCATGCACCGTTGAGAGCTCGAGATGCAATTTCCTAATTTCATCCATATGCTTCTCCCACGATGACTTCATGTACTCCAAAGCATATTTTGATAGTCCAGCTAAATCGCATTCAACGGCATCGGCGAGTTTGTTTACTTTTTTCCTGAATTGGTAGATGATTGCGCTTACTTTTATATTCGCCTGATTGCCCATTGGTGATGATTCTATATGGGTTTGTCTTTCTTCCTCATTTTCTCTTTTATTCTTCTCGAACATCAACATAAATTGTTGCATTTGTTGTTGCATCTGTTGTTGCATTTCCTCTTGGAAGGCCTTTAACTGTTGATCGAGCATTAGCCCATGCACTTCGGGCTCTGCTTCTTTTATTACCCTTTGCGGTTCTCGCTCGACCTCTTCTTCCAAACTCGCTAGGAGTTCCTTTGCTTTTCCATAGTTCAAGTTGATGAGATCCCAAACATTTTCTTTGAAATAGGGATCAGTGTTTTCGCCATGCACTCTCAGCATTTCGTGGTTCGTAGTGGCTTCCTTCATTTTGCTTTCCAGGGATCGTAGTGTGTCACCCATGGCTGCTTTCCGAACCATGCCTGCTTGCAGTTTTTCCTTAATCCCAATTACTTCTTTAAGGAGTAGGCTTTGGAGCTTATACAAGTTATGTCTCGACGCCATTTTTCCTTGTTTTGTGAAGCAAGTAAAATTTGTAGTTTTAGCTTCTTTTCTTTTAATGCCCCTGTGGCTTTTTTCAAAATTATTCTGTTTTATTTTTTTGCTTTTGTTGCCCCTATGGCTTTTTTTGATTTTTTCTTTGCCCCTATGGCTTTTTTTGTTTTTTCTTTGCCCCTATGGCTTTTTTTTTTGTTTTTTATTTGCCCCTATGGCTTTTTTTTGTTTTGCCCCTATGGCTTTTTTTTTGTTTTTTATTTGCCCCTATGGCTTTTTTTGTTTTGCCCCTATGGCTTTTTTTTCTGTTTTGTTTTTTTTTTTACAAAAATATAATTCTCTTTTTTTTTTTTGAAATATATTTTTGTGGCCGCTGGTTTTTTTTTTTTGTCGAAGGACCAATGTTAGCGGGAGAATCAAATTCTAGAACTTGTTTGTTCGTTTGTCAGTTTAATTCTAATTTTATTGAACAAAATGTATTACTTAAGTGCTAGTACACAACAGAAATCTTAGGGGGGTTTAATCTTATGCATCTACTTAAGGCTACAAACACTTGACATTTCTAATTCTATGCATAGGCCTAATGCAACACACAATTGCTGTGATCTATATTTACTCCCCAGCTGAGCGCATGTTTATGGGAGAATATTCTTTATTATCAATGCGTCTCCAGCAGCATGAAGTGTTATCATCCCTTATGCTCTTATCTTTCATGCACACACATTTACAAGTACTCTAGAATGTTGGGTTAAAATTACATAAACATTTTATAGCCTAAATCACTTAACGATCTAATTTATTGCAGCAGTCTTTCATGTTCATAGTTTTATGAACACTGGTATTAAATATTATTCTTGTGGAGTGCATTTTACACATGTGAGGCACTTAAAACACCAAACCTGATGTAACAAAATTTCATCTCAGTCGGATAATAAATGCGACCTGCATTTTGATCACAAGAATACATGGACAGACGTACAGATGGAGTCAGAAAGTGATTCTATGAAGATCCTTAAAGTAACTATGGGTCTATCTCGTTTCTATCTCCATGTTCCCAACAAATGCACAAAGACATAATACCCTTACCACTATGTAGTGTATGGTAGGAAAGTTATGTTACATATGCAGTAACATGATATGTAAACTAGGCAAGGGTACTATTCAGTGTTAAGACCCTATTCTTTCAAATACAAATCTTGTATAAACTCACCATTAAATCCCTTGATGACAAACTCCCAATCCCTTGGCAATATCAACCATGCCAACAACGGCAACATCAATGTTCCAAACGATGTAATAATACCTAAAAACAACAAAACTCTTGGCCGATGATGGGCTGCATGTAATTCGGTTAAATATGTAACCAATACGGCACTGGGTCCATTGACTCTAAAAACAATCAATTATTATATATTAAAAAAAATTTCCAGTATCAATCCGCAATCACTTACATCAATCCACCCAAAAACTTAAATGTTACCAACATTCCAAAATTCTGACTTAAAGAACTGCAGAAAACACACACTGCATCAGCCAACAAGCCAAAAGCCAGAATTTTCTTCCGACCCTGTGTATCGGCCAAATAGCCCCAAACAATGGCCGATGAAATCATACCGGCAAATGTGACAGCATTCAGGACCCCCTTATTGAACAACGTCAACTTCAAATCACATTCTGCAATTGGCAGGATATAAGCCATGGTCGTTGTTGAGAAGACAATGGATAATTTGGCAGGAATTGCAGCGAGTACTAACAGCAAATTGAAGCAACCAAATCCGGTGGCGTGTAGAGCTTTTTCGAAATCTGCTGGCTCATTTTGTTCTGAAAATAGGAAGAATAAAATAATAGAATATTCAGAGAAAAAAAATTAAATATATAAAAGAGTAGATATATAATTGGCTGACCGATAATCGACGGCTGAAGCAAAAATCATGAAATTTTGCACGTGAGCCAGTCTTGGTACATAGCCGTAGTATCCATTACGTAGTAATGGATAGTATCCATTACGGACTTCAAATACCAAATTTCAAACAATTCCGATGAACAATGTCACTAAAATTATCGAGATGCCGAATATATAGGGAGGTACCATTATATGGGGGCAATACCAAAGCGTGGACCTGCACAGATAATTTTCTGTCATAGGCTGTAATATCCATTACAAACCTCAAAAACCAAATTTAAAACAATTACGGTGAATAATATCGCTAAAATCATCAAAATGCCGAATATTGGGGGGAGTACATTTATTTGGGGGTTATACCAAAACTTGGACCCACGTGGCCCATTTTCAATACCAATACTCCTGCAGACATAATATACATTTGAGTACAATTTTATCAACCTATTTCATTTAGTTCGAAAGCTAAAGTGATTTCCACAGACTGACGGACATCGCTAAATCGGCATAGAATTTATGCTGATCAAGAATATATATAATTTGTGGGATCTAAAATGTATATTTCGAGGTGTTACAAACGGAATGACAAATTTAATATACCCTCCATACTAGGAACGAATCTAAAAGGTTAAGGTGGTCTTTTAGCTGACGAAGTAGCGGGCACTTGCTAATTATATCTTCAGCCATATAGATGTCACATTACGTGTCACATCAAAATTACGGTTTTAGACTCTAGGTCTCTTTGAATTAAATCCGTTTCAGAACATTTGGAGTTAATCTAGGCGTGTCCGTACGTCGACCCGTCTGTCTGGCTGACTGGGGCGCACGATAACTCACGAAGGGACCCCAAACTTGGTACAACGTAATACTATTGTCAAACTTAGATCTAGTTCGGAGATGTACAACATCGGTCCACTCCCTCCGGTCCTATTTTACTGAATAGAAAGAGAAAGGATAATACGATCTTGCTCCAACTTTGCAAATTCTAAAACTTGCATCAGTGCTAGGTCAAGTGCAAAAATGGACAACATCGGCCCACTCCATCGAGTACCACCCCCACAAAGGGTTAAAATTTTAAATAATTATAACTCCTAAAAAATGTGATGTAAGAGTCCGTTTGCCGTCAAATTACACGCATCACAATAGTTGTTTTAGCCCAAGGTCTGATGTGAAGATGGAATGTATCGGTCCACTCCTTCTGGTACCTCCCCCACAAAGGATCAATATTTTCAATATCATTGAAGCTCATAAAACGGGAAACCATCCAGACTTGGTACATCTCAATATCTCAATTACCACAATATCTATCATAAAGATGGCAGAGATCGGACCATGTCTCATTATTTCTATTAACACGAGATCTACTATAAATATGGGATATATCGGTTCACTCTTTCTGGTACCTCTCCCACAAAGTTTCAAAATTTCGTAATATCAATGAAGGTCGTAAAAAAGAAAATTAACATCCATCCAGACTTGGTACAATTCAATATCTCCATCAACACAAAATTTGTTATAAAGATGGTAGAGATCGCAGTATTTTTTTTTTTTTTTTTGGTACCTCCCCACAAAGGGTCAAAGATTTGAAGAACCAAGACGACTATAAAATCCGAAATAAGCATTTGGTTCTCTTCACATTTCACACATACCATTATTTCTACTAACACAAGATTTGTTATGAAGATGGTAGAAATCGTAAAATTTCTTCTGGCACCTCCCACCACATAAGTTCAATATTTTGAAAAACAAAACGCTCAAAAAAGCGAAATAAGCATCCAACTCTCTCCAAATTTTACACATACAAAAATTTTTTATATATTTTTCGATGATTTTTTCCCCATTTTTCCACGGATTTGTCTAAAAATTGGTATTTGTAGTTTCCTAATAGGTTCTAGCTCCGGTGGCGGAACATAGTATATATAGGTCCCCGTTTTGGTATAGGCCCCATATAGCGGGACCTCCCGATATTCGGTGTTTTGATAATGTTTGCCACATTTTTCACAGATTTGTCTAAAAATTGGTCATAATGGGTTCTAGCTTCGGCTCTATGCATGGGTCCATGTTTTTGTATAGCCCGCATATAACAGTCCCTCACGATATTTTGAAATCATTAAACATAGATCTGGACAGAAAATTTGAATGTGGGTCCATTGTGTAATGGATTTGCTAATATCCTCTGTTTCGTGTAAAAGGCAAACTTTTTATACCCTCCACCATAGTATGGAGGTTATATTAAATTTGTCGTTTCGTTTATAACACATCGAAATATACACAAAGTATATATATTCTTGATCAGCATAAAATTCTATGTCGATTTAGCGATGTCCGTCCGTCTATCCACCTGTCCGTCTGTAGAAATCACTCTTGCTTCCGAACAAAATGAAGTATGTTGATAAAATTTTTACTCAAATGTGTATTATGTCTGCAGGACTTTTGGTATTGAAAATGGATGATGTAGCACCCGATATAACGGTACCCCCCGATATTTGGTACTTTGATGATTTTTGCGACATTATTCACCGGAATTATTTCAAATTTGATATTTGAAGTTTGTAATGGGTACTACAGCCTAAAACAGGAAATTGTCTGCGCAGTTCCACATCTTCGTATATCCCCATATAACGGTACCTTCCGATATTCGGTATTTTGAGGATTTTAGTGACATTATTCACCGGAATTGTTTCAAATTTGGTGTTTGAAGTTCGTAATGGATATTACAGCCTATGGCAGAAAATTGTCTGTGCAGGTCTACGTCTTCGTATAGCCCCAATATAACGGTATTTCCCTATATTCGGAATTTTAATGATTTTAGCTACATTATTCACCGAATTTTTTTTATTCAAATTTCGCATTTGAATATTGCAATGGTTTATTACAAAAGTTGCCTATGCAGGACCTCAATTCTGGTTCTATGAAAATGTGAAATGAAAATTTTTATATAGGAAAGAATTGTCAAATGAAAAAGTTTATAAAGGATATATTTTTCATTTTATACTTTCATAGAACAAGAATCTAGCCCCAGGTCCTCGTCGTCGTATAGACCCTAATATAAAGGCTAAATTTTAACAGAATTTTTAACGGATTTTAATTTTTTGAAAATTGCCAAAATAGTTCCAAATGGTAAAGGGTATTCATAGATCGGCTGGCCGAACTTACTGCTTTTTTACTTGTTTTTTTTTTTTAATATTCGGTATTTACGCATTTCATCACCATACCTTTATCTGCAACAGATTCGTTGTTGACATATTTATTTTTCGCATCCGATGTTTCCATTTCGAATCAAAAGTTAAGATTTTAAACACAAAAAGTAATATCACACAAACAATTTCTTCTTTTATGTAATTATTTATACACAATCTATGTTACAAAAATCGGCAACAGCTTCCGACACATTGTACGTTACAGACAGACGCGACTACAATGTCAATATGATTCAGGATGACAGTCCATCTGAAACTTAATCTACTTATAAGATTAAAATCTACTGAATTCTCTCTTATCTTTATTAGAGTTGATGTGGCGACTTACTGCATATCGGTTCAAATTTCACAACTGCGTTGAGGCTGACGTCGCCATCGTTACAGGTCAAGTTGCAGATGGGATTAGCCTCCTTCCATTGTAAAAATTAAATAACATTACAGGGAAACCTTTGCTTAAAGATGAAGTATAACTTAACGTCTTGGCGCAGTTTCCATATTAAAAGGCGAAATAATGTCACCTTTTGACAAACAATGACAGCTATGTGAAAGATTTCCCACATTTCTTGTTTCCAGAGAATGATAAAATGTAAAGAGTATTTATCATCTTATCAGCGTCTTATCAGTGTAGCTGCTGTTTTTTTATCACCACCTGCGAATTTTGACAAAGCATTAACAACGTCACAACTCTTATCATTTTGAGGAACTACGCTGTCTACTCATTGATGTTATTCACTTTTGAAAATCTTCAACGGATTAAATATTTCCATAAAATCTACTGGGAAACTAACATTCTTGATTACATTTTTATACCCTCCACCATACATAGTATGGATGGCATATTAAGTTCGTCATGCCGTTTGTAACTCATCGAAATAATCATTATACCCTACAACACTATGTGTTGGGGGTATTATAAGTTTGATTGGGCCAACAATTCTATCTCGCCGAGCTGAGTCGTCTGTCCGTCTGCCCATGTTAATTTGTAATCACTCTACAGGTCGCAATTATGGTCCGATCTACACGAAATTTAAAATGGATGTGGGGCTAGGGTCAGAATAGAACCCTATTTCTTTTGGAGATGATCGCATAATATTTAGGGGTTGAAACTGAAAAATTTCCTATTCACACAATTAAAGATAGTTAAGAACAGGGAAGAATTCTAGCATTTTGGATAACCATTGGGATATGTAGCTGTAAAATGGACCACAACAACTAACAGCACGATGGAGTGCGTAAATATTGGACAAATGTCCCTGGTCAAAACGCTAAGGGTAATATCTGGGCAGTGTTCCATGACATAATTTCAAAAGGAAAATATTCCAAAATGGATTTGGACATAAGGGGGTTTCTAACATATTGTAGTGTTGTAGGGTATCACATGGTCGGCCTACACGACTATAGCCTTTGCTTACTTGTTTTAGACATAACAAAGTATATATATTCTTGATCAGTGTAAAATCTAAGACCATTTAGCGCTTTCCGTCCATCCGTCTGTCCGTCTGTTGTAATCACGCCAGAGTCAAAACGAACAAAGGTAGGAAGCTAAAATTTTGCACAGATCAATTTTTGTCCGTTGGCAGGTCAAGTTCGAAGATGGGCTATATCGGTCCAACATGTCGTAAAGCCCCCATACAAAGGTACCCCCCGATATTCGGTATTTTGATGATTTCAACCACAAATGAGTTCTACACGAGGAGTTCTTTCTTTCTCTTTTACCCTCTGGAAGAGAATTGTTTATATAGGCCCACGATATCGTATAGCCCCCATACAACGGTACCCCCAATAATCGATATTTTTATGATTTCAGACACATTTTTCAATGAAATTGTCTGAAAATAAACACTAGAAGTTCCTTTTGAGTATTTTCCCCCTTGAAATGATATTAGGTATTTTGATGATTGTAGCCAAATTTTTCAATAAAATTGTGTGAAAATCCAGATAAGGATTTCCTTCTGACTTCTTCATCCCCTGGATGATCGTTTCGTTTATCCCCAATACAACGATACCTCCCTTTATTCGGCATTTTAGCCACATTTTTCAATGGAATTGTCTAAAAATCCATAAGTTCTTTCGAAGCACTTTACTCCCTGGAAGAGAAATACCTAAAAAGGTTCAAGATATCGTATAGCCCACATCCAACGGAACTCCCCGATATTAGACATTTTGGCGATTTTTGGGACGTTATTCATCGAAGTTGTTTTAAATTGCGTACCTAGAATTCGTAATGTGTACTATAGCCTATGACAAAAAATTGCTTATGCAGACCCACGCCTTCGTATAGCCTCCTATAATAGTACATTCCAATAATCGGTATTCTGATAATTTTAGCGACATCATTCACCGGAGTTGTTTCAAATTTCATATTTAGAGTTCGTAATGGGAACCACAGTCTATGTCAGAAAATTGTCTATGCAGGTTCAGGCCTTCGTACAAGTCCTACATCAGTACCTTCCTATATTCGGCATATTGATGTTTCGTATTTCAATATTGTAATGGCTTATGACAAAAGTTGCCTATGCAGGTCCATGCCTTCGTATAGACCCCAATATAACGGCTATATTCGGCATTTTTAAGATTTTAACAGAATTTCTGGCGAATGTTATTTTTTTGAAAATTTCCAAGTTTTTTTCAAATGGTGGAGGGTATTCAAAGTTCGGCCCGGCCGAACTTACGGCTGTTTTACTTGTTTTTTTTTTATCAAATCGGGGGTTAATATTTGGAATAAACAAACACCTCATAATTGTTTTCTTATTATTTCATGAAATTGTTCTTCACATAAACATTGCGTATTCAAAATATTAGAATTAATTATATATTAATTTAAGACTTCACTCATTGACTATTAAATTCATCTCTTTAGCGCATCATTAACTCATCGTTTCGCCCGATTTCTCTGTGCCCGTTTCAAAGAAAACCTCTCCCCCTCCGCCACTCTTAATTAGAGCAACTTATTATTTCTCTTAATTATTGAGCATCTTTGTTAGATTCATTAAAAGTGAATATTTCAAAATTACTCCGATGGGTGCAATCAAGAGGATAAAATATACAAGAGCATTGCAATATAAGCATGCCGAGCTGCAACATGGCATCTTTAAGCGCAAAAGTTCGACAAAGAAAACGTTAATGACTCCAACGACGATGCAACATTTCATTAAATGGGATAAGTGATCCCTAGACGTCGAGTTTCCAAAGTTGCAATAATTCACTAAATATACAAGGAAAATAGTTCGGTGGAATATTAAGTTGCAAGGATAAATAGTTTAAGAACAGTTATGACAAATTTAACAAGGATAAATAAAAATTATATTAACCAATTTAAACGATAGCGATTTTTTAGGTAACGGCAACAAGAGTTAGTGAATTTCACAACTGATTGAAATTTCCGAAACAGAGATGGACTTGAAGGCACTACTAAACTGTTTGTACCCAGAAAAATACTTTTTACCAAACAATGGTTTCATAAAACACATTTTTGCTCCACTAGCTGCTACTTCATATTTTGACACGAAATTGTCATAGGAAGTAAGAACTTCCTATTCCAAATTCCGTATCGAATGGACTTTTATTGTGACCTGTAGAGTGACAGTAAAATCAGGAGTATCAGGCAACAATGCCGAAAATAAGATCGAATCGGTGAATGGGGCTATGTGAAATCATAAACCTGTGTTATTCTGCCAAAGGTATTAAAACGTAGGTAAAATAACAAAAATACCTGAAATTTGGGGACTATGCAATATCTTGGACCGAACTTAATCTGCTTGTCAAAGTGTTAGCTTCCTAACACAAGTAGTTTGGACTCTAGGGTGAATACATATGGAAGGCCTGCAAAGAATGGACTTGGGGACTTAGCGGGCATCAAAAGTTCTAATCCACATAATTAGAATTTAAATAAATTTGACAGATCTAATTGTGGTCCACAATGAGTCTCTCCTCATGTCGCTGATGTAAATTACTAACTTGCAGTATACTGAGCATCATCCTCATCAGGAATTAATCTTGAGCACACAATAATCCTACTACTCAGTTGTGAAACCTCAGGCATATGTGATAACATGCATATAGCTACAGAGGGTACTTGTCATTCGATACGTCCAAAACGTAGGAGTGTCTATTCGACTGTCTTTCTGTCTAGCTGGTGCACACAATAACTCTCGAAGAGAGAAGAGAGTTTCAGATTTGGTCCAAATTTGGTGCTTCGTATTATTATTGTCAAATTTAAATCGAGTTCGGAGATGGGCAATATCGGTCCACTCCTTCTGGCACCTCCCTCGCAAAAGGTCAATATTTTTAAAGAAAGTAATTTTCCTCATAGAAAGAGAATGGATCATTCGATTTTGTGCGAAATTTGCAAATCCCATAATTTTGTCAGAACTAGGTAATGTGCGAAAATGAAAGAAACATTATAGGCACACAAAGGGTCAAAAGTAAATATAAAATATTTACATCTGTTGTAAAATACGAAATAAGCATTAGATTTTCTTCAAGAAAGATCTGAAGCGAATATAGGATGTGTTGGTTCAATTCTTCTGGTACCACCCACACAAAGGGGTCAAAATTTTGAATAAGAAGACGCCCATAAAATGCGAAATAAAAATCTGATTCTCATCAAATTTCACACAACTGAATCTATCTATTTACACAAGATCTATTTGAAGATGAGATATATCGGTCCACTCCTTCTGATACCTCCCCCACAAAGGGTTAACATTTTGAATAACCAAATCGCTCAGGAAATGTGAAAAAAGGATCCGATTCATTCTTTTCATTTCTATAAAATTTCAAACATCTCAATAGTTCTGCCAAGATGAGGATGGTAGGTGTCGACCACTCCTTCTGGTATCTCCCTCTCAAAGTGGTTGGAATGTTAAAATAAAAAACCCTCAAAAATGCGTATAAGCCTTCGATTATCTTCAAATTTCACATATCCCTATACTTTCACTAATAAAGGATGCTAATCGGCCCACAGCTTCTGTTACCTCCTCCACAAAGGGTTACAAATTTATACCCTCCATAATACCATGAAGGTTATATTAATTTCGCCATTCCGAAATACTTGTGTCAGACCCAACTAAGTATATATATTCTTGATCAGCGTTGAATTGTACGTCGATCAAGCGATGTCTATCTGGCTGTTACAATCTCGCTATTTTTGGAACGAATTGAGAAAGAATACTAAAATTTTGCATACATGTTTTTTTAGAAGGCAAGTTAAGTTCGTAAATGGGCCGGCCATGTCGGTCCATGTTTTCATACA